AGGTAATTGCTCAGTTTTTTCTTTTGTAATTTGAGTGGTTTGTTTTTATTTTCTTTTTTACTTTTTTATTTTAACTGTTTTCGCTAGAAGGTCGGGCAAGTTTGATGAGTCTCGTTTTAGTAGCGGAGCTAGTTTGGTAATAGGTCGCTTTAGAGTGCTGTTCTGCGTCTGGATAGTTACTACGCAAACGTAACCATCAGCTCCCGGATGCAGGTCCGTAACGCGTCCGGGCGGCGTCGTGGTGAATGTTCACTGATCCCACGGCGCCGACTCAACCGGCGAGAGGGAAACCCGGGGGGGTTTTAGTGGGTTAGGCACTCCAGCCTGGAGGGAGAGTCCCCAATATATAGGGGTATCCATAAAGATTTCCCCCCGTCAAAAAAAAAAGTCCGTAACGCGTGCCATTGCCCACTTTCCTGCCGGGATATTATCCTCCATCAAGATGACTAGATCGACAACACTTAAGTTTTCCTTTGGTTTTAACCACTTGCTCTTCATCTGCAGTTGGTGTAGATACTCGTTTGACCACCGCTGCCAGATATGTTGATGCATGAGCTCAGTTATCTTCCATTTATTGCGTAAATCAATTGTGTTCTCATTACAGTTATCTTGAGGCACTGACATTACGGGGGTCCCCGTGACATAATGACCGGGTGTCAGGTAGTCGAGATCGTCTACGTCTTCCGTTAGTGGACATAGCGGTCTGCTGTTTAAACAACTCTCGATTTGAGCAAGTAGTGTAGTGAATTGTTTAAAGTCAAGTTTCTGTTCTCCAAGGACTCGCATAAGGTGATATTTCATCGATTTCACTGCAGCCTCCCAAATTTTAGCTACAGAAGGCCAACTTGGACAAAGAAAATGCCATTCGATTTCTTGTTCGCTGACAGCGTTGAAGAATTCTGGTGAAGTTATCGTTAGATACTCTTGAAAGTCATCATGCAGGATCTTGGCTGCCCCTTTGAAATTGGTACCGTTGTCTGAGTACATATGCTTGGGCGTTCCTCGTCTAGCGCACAAACGTTTCAAAGCAGCTAGAAACGTTTGAGTACTTAGGTCTGAAACCAGTTCAATGTGTACGGCCTTTGTCGCAAGACAGATGAAGATTGCTGCATATCTTTTACACGTTTTCACCCCTCTTCCCTTGTTAAGCTTTACTTTGACGTGACCCGTGAAGTCAACACCGCAGTGAGTGAATGGTCTGGATGCTGAGACTCTCTGTTGCGGCAGATTACCCATAATTTGAGAGTTCTTTGTCGTTTTGAATCGGTGACATCTGACACAGTAGCGTAAAATACCTTTTACTGCACGGTTGCCACCTACGATCCAGTATCGCCGCCTAGTTTGGCCTAATGTCAAGCGAACTCCTCCGTGTAAAGTCTTCTTGTGGGCGTGATCAATAATGAGTTCTGTCAAACGGCTCGTGTGGGGTAGTATCGCTGGATGCTTCGCTTCGGCAGATAAGTTAGAATTCTGAAGACGTCCTCCAACTCATAGAATGCCATTTTCATCCAGATGTGGTGTTAAGTTCAGCAGTTTACTTCTATTGTGTGGTGACCCATTTTTTCGTAAGCTGTTTGTAACACATTTTTTTGGTAGATCTCTTAAATACCAAAACAAAAACAAAAATTTATCTTCTCTCCTTGGTAATTTCACCATTCTTGTACAACATGTCACTTTGACATTATAGTTTAAAAATATTTAGTAAATTAGTTGAAACTTAAGTGTTGGTGTAATCTATTCTTTAAACCATTCACATATGTAGTACCTGTTGGTGAACGATTTTTCTATAAAATCAATATCGTGAATGGGTACCCTGTAGTTTGACATATTTTTGAAAACACCAACCCTGGCTAATTTTTCTTGTTTGGTATCACAGAAAACTAGTGCTGCGTACCAATTAACTCGATTTTACTTCTGTAGTCGAGTCTCATGTAAATTATAGCTTTTCTTTAATATTTCCATGTTGAACGCCGCCATTTAGGTTGCCAAGTACTTCCTGTAAGGAAATCTACGTAAACCTGGAATCGCCATGTATTCTAGCGGGTTTAGGTGATAAGACTTGGGAGCTGTATCTGGATGATTCGATAGATTGTCTGTGGCGTTGTTCGCGGGTAACATCTCTTAGGAGGAATTCGGCGGAAACTCATCTTTTCTGTTCGACACGTCGGCGAGCAAGGTGTTCCAGTTTTTACATCTACTACGGTGATTTATCCCATTGGGGGCATGGTCCCCTAATGCCTCTTTTTATAAAATAAACTAGGAATAGCCAGATGCCGTAATAATGGGTCTCCGAACCCTGTACCAAAAGTAAAACCCGTGTCACCGGACCGCATGGTGAGTTGACCTCTGGATTCTTTCCTTCATTAGATGCTTCGTCATTTATATCAATGTACTGTAACAATCTATTTTGTTGCAGGGTTTTAGTTTTTCTTTTCTTTCTATTTTGTACCTTTGGTACATGTAATTTCGAATCTCGTCATCAACTGAATGGCTGAGACTATGCTGCTGTAACTTTTGTTCGGCTGTGCCCGACCACGTGTCATGAGCTCCACGGGTGGTCGGCATCTACTTATAACTACGTTACTCCTGTAGCAACTACGCTGTCTTCGCAGCGGATTCTGGTATGTGATTTAAATGTACATCCGGTAAACTCCAGGTCAGTGACGTATAAGTGAAGTGTCCATGTGGCACTCATGTACTTTCATAAACTCTTAGTGCAGTGTATTAGCTCTAAGTATACTTAAAGGTAACCTTTTATATGTAACTAATAAGGGCAGTAAACCTATTCATACTCTCCCTTTGTAAACTCGGGAAGTAAAAATACTAGTTCTTCATGCTGTACCTATAAATTTAATTATGACATATAACTAATGTAAATTTCAAATAAAGCATTCTGGTTATTTCTACTTGAAACTTGTTTTCGTTGTGTGTAAGGCGCCCTTCCTTCTCCTCGCTTATAAATTTTACACGCATCATCGGGTCAACCAGAACTCACACCCACCATCCAGTCTCATGCTCACTCAAACCGACTGGAGCTGACCATTACATGTTTATGTCCTCACTGAAGTATTCGCGCTGCGTTTGTTTTAAGATACGAATCGCCGCGTCACTTATTTCTGTGTTTATTAAATAGTCGTCGCTACACGCTTGTACCTTGTGACGTATTCTCGCGGCGAAACGTAATACGCAGGCGAGGCACCGAGTGGCACGTGTTATCGAACTATGACGTTCTAACAGCTGTTTGATAATGTCGTCACCGCTAACGTCATAGTTGCTCTGTTGCGTGGCACAGCATTCGAACGTCAATCCTTCGTCGGTCGAAAAGGTTTTGCAGGCTTTCTTTTCACGAGACTCAATTCGGAGCCAATGCTCGGGGAAGGACCTCCTTCCCACCACAACTGATAGTTTAATAGTTGAGAGGGGAACAGGCCGCGCGTTGCGCAGTCCGCTGGATTCTCTTTGGTGTTTACGTAACGCCATCTAGAAGCCGGCACGATGCTAGTGATGTTCATCACTCTATTTGCTATATATTATTATTCCTATTTTTTTATCGCTTCCCTGCAGCCAAGCTAGCACCACTTGTGAATCTGTCCAGCAGTGGACATCGACTTGATCATGGGAAAAAATTGGTATAACTTTCTCCATAAGCTTGGCGAGTAGAAGAGCTCCGCAAAGCTCTAATCTGGGTAATGAAGTCTTTTGCTCCACTTAAGGAGCCACCTTTGTTTTGGATATAAGTAAAGTAGTGACGTATTCACCGCGGTCATTGATAGTCCTTGTATATATGACGCATGCATACGCCTTTTCGCTTGCGTCGCTGAAGCCGTGTAAGCTCGATACGCTCGTTTGTGCCGTTTATCCATCTAGGTATTGATATGTTTGTTATTTCATTTAATTCGTTTCGAATCTTTTCCCAACTTGTTGCTACATTACGAGGTACTTGTTCATCCCACGCTAAGTTGATATTCCATAGTTGTTGACCACGGCATGTTCCAATTAAAACAAAAAACGTCTTCCGCTGTTTTCCATCCAATGCCCAAAGTTTTCATAATGGAATCGTGCTTTCATTTTTCATTTTCATTTTCATTTCATTTATTCAAGTTACATTGTGCAAACACATTTATCATTACAGATATAAATCTAATTCGATAATGTCAAATCACTTTCGAATTCGGGAACGGAACGTGATCCTTATTGTAAACAACTCGTTGCAAAAATTTTCCAAGATTTATTACGAAAATCTTAGTGTTTACTCACGATTACATCAGTTTCAACTACTGTTTTCACAATTGGAGATCCAGTATTTACAACTCAATTTCGTTAAGGTACGACGAAAATTACTGTTAATTAACACAATTTGAATTCCATATTCCACCAGCACAACAAATCACAGATAACCCCATTATAGTGTTCAGCTGATTGGACGTGTGACACCTGTGGGCGTAGACAGAACTGACGGTGAAGTAGTATTGCCAATATGGATAATTAATTTTACGGCTGCGTTCACGTAAATACAATCCGTTTCACGCAGACAACCGTAGTTGTCAGGTAGTTACACTCAACGTCGCGTTGACCGTTGCCGTGAGATCTATTCGAAACAAGCATCATTGGAGCGCCACTGGTTTGTTGTGACAGAAGTACAAGCAATGATGAAGTCTAAGCAGAGTCTGTTGTGCGCCGGCTGCAAAAGTAGTATCACGGATAAGAAATTCGTCAAATGTACCCTAAATGGATGTGGCAAGAACTTTCACTATCCCTGTGTTGGTCTGGGAGGCCCCACTAATGACTCATGGGTTTGTCGAGACTGCCGTAGTTCTATGAGGAAAGGGGGCGACAACTCAGCAACTCCGGTGAGAACGTCAGAGAACATCACCTAGAGAAAACTAAAACCAGCCAGCCCCTTGGAAGTGTCGCAGCAAGAAGCCTCACCCCTGTACGAACTAACAGGCGAAATTAGGCTACTAAGAGCGGAAGTTTCGTCAATGAAGACTGAATTTGAAATGGCCATCTCTGCCCTTAATCGCTGCGAAACAAGATTAGATGAATTATCTATGGCAATGTCCGCTTATGATACCCGTTTAATAGAAGCCGAGAAAAAAGCATCTGAAGTAGAGGACTTGCTATGTATAATCAATGTAATGAACGACAAACTCAATTCCCAAGAACAAAGCATGTTAAGAAACGAGATCGAAGTCACTGGTGTGATGGAAACTCCAAATGAAAATCCTCACCATATTATTTTAACGATGTCCTCCTTGATAGGCGTCAAACTTTCTGATTTTGATGTTGATTACGTTCAGCGAGTCGGTCCACGTCGGAGTACTAATCATTCCCTACCACGCCCTTTGGTTGTGAGATTCACGAGGCGTGTACCACGTGACCAATTTCTAAAAACAGCTAAGGTGCGACGATTAACCACCAAGGATGTTGGGTTTGAAGGCGCCTCTACAACCAATATCTATGTAAATGAACGGTTGACTCGAGCAAACCGGCTGTTGTTTCGCGACTGCCGAAAACAAGCTAAAGAAGCAGGATTTAAATTCTGCTGGACAAGCGGTGGAATCATTTACGTCAAGAAGCGTGAAGGCAGGGGTAAGGGCTCCGAGTCTTTGGTCATTAGATCAAACGCCGACATCAACCGTATCCTCCGAGAAAATGAATCCGGAAGCAAAGGTCACAGCAGTTGATGAAGCTAAAGTTTTCAGTTTGCGGCTAGTGTTTCTGCGGACTGTTGGATCTCTTATTCCATGGTTCATTTACATCATTTTAATTGGTTACGTTTTAAATTCTATCTCAATAACTTACACAACTATCGTAGATACACACACTCGCTTGCACGCACAGTTTCTTCCACTCCACACATACCGGACCTACTACAATTACAACCCCTCACGTAACTACCCTCGTATAACCTTTAATCATACTCAGGCACTTACTACTGGTCTTTACATGACAATAGTCATCTTTAATATCTTTCAGCTCCATGTACGAATAGTTTATGATAATGGCTAATTTAGATTACATGAGGAATCTCGACTCGTCTGACTTACCTTGCCATATAGTCGAACAGCCTGAATCATGTAAATCTTTATTCACTGATCAGTTTAACTTTAAAGTGCTTACTGTGAACATTAGAAGCATACATCACAATTTTGTCGAATGGTTGTTGACATTTGCAAGACTGGACATTGAATTTGATGTTTTGATACTTACGGAATGTTGGCTAAACGAAAACTCTATAATACTTCAAATGGAGGGCTTCTCACTTTTTTTGAGTTGTACACTTTCATGTACAACTCAAAAAAAAGTTAGTTGCTTGTTTTCAAAGCAGGCAACCGCCTCCCTAACGTTGTACCAACTTACTTACAAAAACTTTCATAATAATTTACTAAGAAAACTGAAGAAGCAGCATGAGACATTGGTGCTAGAACAAAATAAAGATAATCCTAAAAAACTTTGGGACTCTATTAGAACTTTTACTCACTCTAAAAGGCAAAACCATGCATCATCTGAATTAACAAGGACCAAAGAAAGCACAATTGATTCGGTAAACCATTGTAACGAATTCTTCGCGAATGTAGGAAAAAGGCTTGCAGACAAAATACTGACCTCCACTCAGGAGACACAGGAATCGCTTGCAGCCAAAGTGAAACTTAAAGCATCGCCTCTTAACTCCTTTTTCATGCTGCCAACAGATGAAGCAGAGGTACTTTCTCTAATTGACGGTACGAGGCTTGACGGCGCCCCAGGCCAAGATGGTATCTCCAATCGATTTTTAAAAATTACCAAAAACAATCTTCTCGTGCCACTTGCTTACATTTGTAATCTTAGCCTAACAGAAGGGATCTTTCCTACTCAGTGGAAGTCTGCGACTGTGATCCCGATTTTTAAAGCTGGGAACAAATATGATCCCAATAACTACAGACCAATTTCCCTATTAAGTTGCTTCTCCAAGATTCTAGAAAAACTAGTTAACCGTCTTGTTGATTTTCAAGGAAAAAATAAATTAATATCTGACCGACAGTTCGGCTTTAGACGCGGAAAATCCGCTCAGGATGCGGTCTCTTTGCTTACTAACATAATATCGGATCACCTGGACAGCAAGAAGGCCTGTATGGGGGTTTTTCTCGATTTGGCGAAGGCCTTCGATACCGTGTCTACACCCATTCTTGTTCGAAAGTTGGAATCTCTTGGTATTCGTGGCATGACACTCGACTGGTTTCATAGCTATCTGTCTGGTCGTTCCCAAAGCACAATAATTGTAAATCAATTAAGCAATCCCACGCCCATTGACTTTGGGGTGCCTCAAGGGAGTGTGCTGGGCCCCACCCTTTTTACTGTGTACATAAATGATATTGTTTCTGTTCTGGACCACACTGACACCGTGTGCTATGCAGACGATACCGCCATTATTTTCCGTGGTCCTAATTGGTCCAATGTATATAATTTGGTCGAGTGCGGTATGTCGCGGATAGCTGCTTGGCTTCGTGGCAATCTCTTGACGCTAAATTTGACGAAAACCCATTTTTTGTGTTTCCATAAGACAAGTGCCTCTGCTCTTTTGTACTCCCCTGAAATCCCGGTTTATTCTTGCGACCCTGAAAAGCGAGCGTCTTGCAAGTGTCAAAGCATCAGTCGGGCCGCAAATGTAAAATATCTTGGCGTAGTTATAGATCAGAGGCTCACCTTCGGAGACCACTTGGTTGCCACCGCCAAAAGAGTACGTAAATTAATATACTTTTTTAGGAATCTCCGTGCGGCGGCCGACATAAGATTACTGGGGATGATATACAAGGCTCTATGCCAATCCATTATTACCTATTGTATCACTGTTTGGGGTGGCGCTGGAAAGCCAAACATGATGTTGATTGAGAGGGCACAACGATCCGTTCTGAAAGTAATGATGAAAAAACCCATCAAATATCCAACTACTACTCTATACGAGGAGTGTGGGGTCCTATCCGTTCGCGGTCTCTTTCTACTCGGAGTTATGGTTCTGGTGCATCGTGAAGTGACTTCTTCTCCTAATTATTGTAAGTTACTCGAAAACAGGCTTTTTAAACTTCATCTACCAGCTATAAACTCCACCTTCGCTAGAAGATTTCCAAAATTCATGCATCCGTATATATACAATAGAGTTAACACCTTGTACAGCGTCAAGCTCTGCTCAAATTCGGAACTTAAGCATGGGGTCAATAAGTTGCTACGCACGTTGACATACAATGAAATAGAGGACTTGCTAAAGGAGGTGCGCTAGTTCACTGCCTCAATCCTTAATCCATACACGTGCACGCACGCACACACCCACCGACTCACATGCACGCACGCACGCGCACATACACGCACGCACGCACCCACCCTCGCACTTACGCACACACACATACACACACACAATGCCATAAAGACACACACTCATCCTATATAAATGTTTATATAAGGTAATTGGCATTGAATTAAAAATACAATGAATATTATACATTATACAATATATATATATAATCTAATATAATAATATAAAAATATGATAAGATAAAATAAAATAATGTATTATATAATAATAATAATTTTTGATAATATGTTTGTTTGAATGTGTTTAATAATATGTACAATTTTTCAAAAAAAAAACCTTTTAATAATAATAAACAGTAACAAATATTTTTATCGATTACCTGCGAGACAGGCTTGCCTAGAGCAGGAATCGTAGGAAATTCCCTGTACGCGATATACGCTACAATTGAGTTGTGTTACCTGGTTCTTTGTCGTAACTAAATTGTAATGTGCCTGCACAAGTTCATTTGTAAAATAAATTATTTTGTATTTTTGTATTTTTGTATTTTGTATTTTGTATTTTGTATTTTTTGTACTTAATTTTTAAAATAAATTCGTTAATAAATTACTAAATAGCTTTCATTCATAACCATTATAATAAAAATAATAATTTAGACATTTCAATTTCTTATAACTATTTCTTACATATAGTGTCAAGGGCTACGTCTGCGAATCTCGACATCGAACAACAAAAAATATAAATTTTCTTAGAAATGTCATTTAAAAGACGCAAAGCGGTAGTGAGCGGCGCATGCTCCAGCATTTTGGTCCTGCATAGCGGCAGCGCTAGAGTCTGCTGTCGCACCTCGCGGCGTAGGCGCATATTTGGCACGAGGAGGCCGATTGCTTCCAGTATTTGCGGATTGCACAGTAAGCCACGATAAATTTTAAATACGTAAGTGACGAGAGCCAAGTTTCTTCGTGCTTCGAGCGTATAATAGCCAACCATTCCTCGGACAAATGGTGTCGGGTACATATTGGGGAACATAGGGTACACTTTATAAGACCTAAGGTACGCAAGCCTTAAAAATTTATTTTGAATTTTTTCAATCATTAAGCTATATTTTTTTCCTCGGGATTCCATATTATAGAGCTACTTTCTAATTGACTTCTAACTAGCGCATTATATAGAATTTTTAAAGTATCTATACTTATTAAAAACTTAGTATGTCTTTGTATAAATCCTAAACTGCGATAGGATTTTTTGCAGAGGTTGGTTATATGGTTCCTAAATGTCAAGTCATTCGAAAAATATAGTCCTAAGTCACGCACTGAATCCACTCTATTTAGGGCCGTTCCATCAATCGTATAGCCGTATATGAGTGGATTATGTGCACGTGTGCAAGACATAAGGTTGCACTTAGATGTGTTAAACAATAATTTGTTGTTTTGGCTCCATTCGGTCACCCTGTCCACGTCTTCCTGTAAACGTTTGCAGTCCTCGGCGTCATTAATTTCTAAGTATAATTTAAGGTCATCTGCAAACAATAAACAGCCCGAATTTTTCACCACTTTTGGCAAGTCGTTGACCATAAGAATGAACTCTAGCGGACCCAAATTACTGCCCTGACTTACCCCTGACGGTGTCAAAAACGCTTCCGATGTGTGCCTCTCATAGTCTACGTACTGTTTCCGATCTCTTAGGTAGTTAGAAAAAAATTTAAGCAACGGTGTCCTGAATCCAGCGGACGCTAACTTTGTCAGCAATATGTCGTTATTGACCGTGTCGAAAGCTTTACGAAAATCCAAGTACGCTACATCCACCTGACCACCTACCCGTCTGTCTAAGGCTGTGCTTGCATAGTGCATGAAACACATATGATTTGACTCTGTACATCGCCCTGGCCGGAACCCATGCTGCGCGTTTGACAAGTATGGATCAATTTGTGGGAAGATCTTATTGTACAGTATGTACTCGAACACTTTGGCAAAGGTGGATAGTACTGCTACTGGTCTGTAGTCTGTAGACATCTGTGCTGAACCTACTTTTCGGTACCGGGGTAACACGCGTAACTTTCCACTGCTCTGGGTAAACACTGGCGTTCAGACAGATATTAAATATATGTTGAAGGGGCTGGGCAAAAACTGATGCGCAGTCCCTTACTATATATGGTGGTATTCCATCCGGTCCTACCGATTGCTTGGGTTTGAGACATCTAAGAGCATTTCGAACGTCTTGTAAAGAGAGACAAGCAACATGAACGCGTTCGGCCGTCGCCTCTCTACCAGCCGCTGCGGCTGTATCCTCCGCTTCAAGTAAGGGTGTTTCGACATTGTAAATCGAGTGGAAATATTCCGCAAAAGCCTGAGCACTCTGTGAGTTATCCAGTACTACGCCGTTTCTTGTGACGCGAGGCTT